GACCGGCCAAGGCCTCCACGTGGGACCGGTGAAGGCCTCCACGTAGGACCGGCCAAGGCAGATCCTTCACGGAGGTACACTAAAATACCTGTTCGGCTATTTTAAAATCTGCGTATTTTATTGTAGTAACCGTATATCATTTCATAACCATATGATGAGTTATATTATAAACACTTATGCACCATATATATATGATGAGGAGGCACTGTGAGTGTTCTGTGTTATCTCCCGACCCATCCAACACCCCTCATCTTTCTTCCTCCGCGTCCTCGCAGGAGGAGGCACCACCGCCACCTGTCCAGACATGACGCTCGGCGGACACAAAAGAACACGTGCCTTCCAGAATTGTTTTAAGGGAAAGCCAAATAAAGCCATATAGCTTTGGGGGCTGAAAACAAGGGTTTCCTGCAGATTCTCCCTGGAATGGAATTCAATTCATTGAGTTCCTCCTCCGCCCAAACGGGGGGTGGATGGATGATTGGCCCAGACCCCTAGGGATCCAGTCATAGCTTCTCAGAAGGTACGAGGTACGACTGGACCCTGGCACCGGCAAATCACCGAGGTTTGCAAGTGAAAGAAACGCACTGGTCGAATTGGTTGGAAGGAAATGAATCACAATCTCACGGATCTTTTTCCATAGGACTGGAATACCCAGACACTACATGTATGCCATATATGCCTACATTGACCCCCCAAACCACCCCAATGTAGGCATATATGCCATACATGGAGTGTCTGGAATATTTGGGCTTTAACCTGACCTTCCAAATCTCTGAACAAGTTTACCCCAACCCATCCTTGGCTAGACCCGTCGCTAGCGACTTCGAGATCGCAAGAACAAACCCACCCGAAGTCCCTCCGAGTCTGTGGATTTCCCTCCGAGTCTGTGGGCAACGCCCTTCGGGGCCAAGAGAGGTTGTTTGAGACCTGAACGGACCCAGAGGTCCTACACCAGGACCTCCTCAGGGGTGTCCTTCAACTGGCCCTTAGCGGTCGAAGGGGTTTTGGGGGGGTCCGGGTAGAGGTGTTAGAATTCTGTATAATCGGATGCTCTGATGTGCACGATTTGGACATGCACTCCTTTAGCTTGATCAATGCCGCATCATTGCCCCGACACATTTCATGTCATGGACGCTGGAATATATTATTCTACGATAGCTTCGCGCGACATGCTGCAACATCCGCGATGTTGGATAGGTAGGTTGTATCACGTTGCACTGGATGGCTGGGTGAGTTTTGCCAAGTGCTCGCTTTTGGGTAGATACAGTGGGCGTGAGGAGCCAGAAGCAGGCGCTTTCCAGTTTGCTCCCCGCAGTCACAAGCTTGTTTTTGACCAAACCCTGAAAAAAGTACGAATTCCTCTGGGCGCCTGGGAGCATTGTCCGCCGACTCAATGTCGTTCTTGGGGATCCAGGATCAGTTTTCCCAAAGTAACCCAGCAAGCACCGGGCCGACTCCCACTCAGCAGTCATGGACGTGGAAAACCGCGCATTTTCCAGAGGGGGAGGTCTTTGAATCACAGCTTGCGACTTCGTCTGTTGGGTCGACGGTAATTACAGTAACAGTGGACCATTTTCCCATCTCACGGCTGCGATCAGTTTTCTGACAGAAGGGTCCAATGTAGACCAGCACCTTGCGACAGATACTCTCCGGAGTCAGGGACTCGAGACCTTCAAGGCTTCGGACCTGCGACTGGCATGGGTTTGGTCCTCACAAAAAGTGAAACAAACATTTGCAGGGATCAACTTCCTATGTGTTTGGTTTTCTTTTGTTCATGGAAACCGTTTGAGCGATGTGCTCGAGTTACCGCATCTATGTACAAGGACCCTCCCGGAAGGGGTGTTGAGAAGGTAGGACAACTATAAAACATGGATGCAGGATGCAGGCAGTGATGGGAATCAATAGAAACCGACCGAGTTCGGGTGTTTCTTGTTCTTGGTCGATTTGTTTGTAGCTAACTTACCATCCAGTTCATGGAACATTTGGACCTTCCAACTGATGTAATTTTTGATATAAAGTCTATTTCCTTCGCTACTTCACCATCTTGAGAGCCTGCAACATGACGCCCAACACACCACCCGGTGCTCTCGGTGCTCTCGGTGTTCCTTGAGGAACACTGATCCCATGGCCACGATCCAGTGCCCCGGAGAGCAGGGCCGATGGAATGGTTACAGTTGATATGAACTGCGGGAGGGTCGTCCAGAAGACATCAGTGTGCTTTGAAGAGAGGAATCCACGGAAGCCACGGAGGGCTAGGAGAATCAATTTTCGGTTTTGAAATGAACTGCAAATGATTTGAATACAAAAAGAGTTTGGAGTCTCCCATGGTCTTCTCTATGGTCTTGTAAGACGCGCGCGCGTGTTCGTTTGATCGCAATTGACTTTACGTTTCTATTGCAAGAGGAGTTGCAAAACGCACTCGTAGATCGAGTTCTCTTCCATGAGCGGAACAAAACCAGCTCAATGAATGATTACATTAATTTGATTGATCAACTAATCTGGGATGGCAGGTGTATCAATGGACCATTTTGTGATAGGCAAGATATTTGGTGTTTGGGGCAGAACTGAGCGGTCATCGTTTTTTTCCCAGCCGCTTGGGCACTGATCGAAAGCACTAGTGACGATCTTTTCTGGCCATGCAGACGGCACCCTGGTGCCTGGAACAGGTCCAAGACTGGGGCTCTTGAATTTTTGGGTTGGTGATGGTTTGTGTATTACTCGTTTCCGATGCGTTTCTTTGGAATTCGCACAACCCAATCACATCCAATCACGGCAGATGGTGTTTTCAATCGAGATGCCCACTGGATGGCACATTTGTGAGACATCATTTATCATATTTGGCCCTCATGTCATTTCTTCAAAATCATCAAATCTGACTTAGAAAAGCCAAACTCTGTATACTACCATACGTACCATACCTGTTACACTATGTTAAACCAAGATTTTCCTGGAGCCCACCCCACCCCCTCCGAACACCGGCATAATGGGCAGCGCTTTTCTGGAGATGTGGGTAGCACTGGGGTAGTTGCGCAAGTGGGGTTCCTGCTCACCAAAGTGGTGTCTTTGACCCTTGATGCCCAAATCCTGGGTCCAACACCTCCAGCCGTGGTTTTCCTTTGGTACCTGACCCAGGTTCGAGAAGCCCAATTGCACTCTCCTTTGCCCTGAGCCGGATCCCGTCCCTGCAGGCAGTTGTCATGGGGTGGTGGAGGAGTCGCTGACATCGGGGTTGTCCAGGATCAGACCACCCCCATGGACTCATCCAAAAATCATCTCAGTCTAAGCCCACAGACTCAAGGGTGGAAGAAAGGTTCCTTCTCCAGCTTTCCACCTGGATCTATCAAGTTGGACGATCGAACAGAGATGAGGCGATCGAAGCTCAGGCCCTTCAGATTCGTTTTTCCTTCAGATTTCGCCTTAGCTTTCCAACTTGGAACCTCTCCCGCAAGCTTGTTCCTGCAGCGGCCGCCCAGTTGAGGATCCAAGATCCTTGGACAGGACCTGAAGCTTGGTAAAGGCTGAAGTCTGTCTGTTTTTGCGAAACATGTCAAGATAAACTCTGGAAAGCTGGTGGTGGTCCTAGTTTCTGGGCAAGTTGGTGATGCAGACAATGCAATATTAAGCTTTGCCGCATCACTGGCATCATCAAGGCGGTTGTAGGAGTACTAGGTGTAGCTGAGGCTTGGATAATGAGCTGTTGAATTCTCAGAACCGTCTTTACCAACCATGAAGCTAGAATGCAAGCGACTTCTTCACCACAGGATGATCTCATACCCACTTCCACAAGAGTGCTCACATGTGCTTGCCTTGCGTGTTCCTGGCTTTCATTCCCCCCTTCTCAGGTTGGTTTGAAGTACCATGTGGCTTGTGTGAACCTTCTCCAGTGATATTTTGGGTGGATTTCTTTCTTCTCACAGCAGTGAGCGAATTCGTCCGTAGCGGAGCCGCATTTTCCAGGATCTACCAAGTCCAAACAAAGAACAACACTGGATGGAGGCCATCGCTTCTAGATTGGAGGCCACAATTAGCTTCCCATTGCTGATCTCGCTTTCCATTACAGTCAGAGCACTCCCTTGGGTCCTTGCCCACATCTGCCCACTCCCTCATCCGCTCGTGCCGGAAGAGCGGAAGCCGGAACGAAGCTGAAACGAAAGGCTATGTGCGTGGCACCGACCGTTGGCTCTGTGCCACAGGCGCGGGGGGGACCCGTTCGAATCGAACGGGACGGAAGGTCTTCCGAACGACGGAGCGCAAGCAGCGCGGGACCTGCGGTCAAGCGAGAAAAAGGAAAGAAGCCGGTAGCCAGATCTAGATTCCTCCTCAGCTGGCAGGTGGAAAGTGTGTCAACCTGAGCTTTCCGCCTGAGCCAAGCCCTGGGGGGTCTAGGGCCGACGATCCTCACTCCCACCACCTGGAGACCTAAAACCAGTGAGAGACCTGTAGAGTGCAGGTGAATAGACAACTCGTGGCGCTGAAAAAAAAAGACATCATCGAGAGGCTCCCATGTTTCCTCATGAAAGAAGACCTTGAATCCATGGTGGACCATGTTGTTTTTTGCAGCCATACAACACAGAGAACATTAAGACAAAACAACACACACACACACAAACCTCCTTCCTCTTTCCTCTTGCACACGCCAGAACGACGCTCGTCCGCTCCGCCCGCCCCGCACACCGTTCCCGCTCCCCCCCACCGAACACGTGCGCACCGAACACGTGGGCGTTCCAGCACCGTCGACAGGCTATGTGGGCACGGCCTCGGCCTCCTGTTTGGTGGATCGCTTCTTCTCGAACAGCCAGGGCGTTTGCGTCACCAGGAGACCGATGGAGACCGACGGGACAGCGAGAAGACCGGTTCGGTGCCCGTTTTTGGGAATGACATGGAATGAACATGACTTCCCGGAGTCTCTAATTCTAGCGAGCTGTGGCCATTCCCTTAACACCAGTCAGAAGACCATCGCTGTTACTGGAGTTGGTGATATGTATTCAACCAGCACTCAGCGAGGTGAATTTCAGCTGGTTTTGGGTCGCACCGGAGCGGGCTTGATGATATTTTAGCCCTCCCACATTGAGTTGCATGTAAAACAGGGTAAAACCATGTAAAACCTCAGAGGTTTTACAACATTTGGTAATGGTTCAGTTTTACGATGCAAATGTGGAGGGGTTGATTCTTCAAGAGTCTTCAATAAGTGGATCACATCTGGGGCCGTGGGGGTGTGATGATGTGTCGTTTTCGTTCAGTCGAGTTCGGTCGCTGAGAAGGTGCAAAAGGAGAAGGAGGAGTAGAGCTCAGATAAAATCTAACAACCCTCACCTGGCAGGTGGGGAAAGAGCATGTGGCCCTAAGGGCCTCTGATCTCCACCGGGACCATCCCATCTGGGTGCCCTGGCTGGACTTCCCTACCCTGCTTACTAGAGACGTCCAGGACACACAGACAGGATGATCCTGGCATGTATTCGGGTAGTATAGGGAGACCTCCCAGGCGTTCCGACCCCACCTAAAAGGTTCGGAAAATCGACCGAAGCCATCCAAAAAGCATGTCATCTTGGGTCATGTTGGGTGTCTCCCTAATAGACATCCATGGATAGCGAGGAGCTCTTTTTTTGGCTCCAATGATTCGATGTTGTTCGGTAGATCGAGGTGCAGGCCTGTTGTGTGGGATGACCATGCACTAAGCCTAGCCACTGATTCTTGGGGGTCGGTGCTGGTGGGAAAAGGCTGTTTCCGACGCTGTGGCATGGGCACCCAGCATGCACTAGGGCTGCAAGTACCTCCTCAGAAAATCTGCCTCCCCAAACGCTCTTTAAGAAGGTACTTGGAACCCTATATAGGGATATGCATGGTTCACTTATCCCTGAAAGTTGTTTATAGTTGTTCAAAGTGAAGCATGTTCCGGGCTGGGGCCAGAACTTTCCACGAGTGTGTGGAAGAGGTTGGGCACAGCCTGGACCGCTCTGGACCGTTCCAAGAGAGGACCGGACTTGCTGGTCTCCATTTGACACCCAGACAGCTTCAGGTCCAGGTGTCACTTGCATCAAAAAATTCATCCGGAGCCCGGGGGTCTAATTGCCATGATATTGCCAGCAACGATTTGCTCCGGGTGTATCGCGGAGACAGCCTCGATACAGTAAGCTATGGCCTCGCGCAGTCGCGCGTGTATAATCTATAGGGATCAGAAGGTGATTGGAGACACTGTTATGTAGCTGCCAGATGGTGCCAGGAGGGTCCAGTGGTACCTTTTGAGGAGGTACGATTGGCTCCCCCAAAAATAGAGATTACACTCCCTGAATAATTCATGGAAGAAGAAAAGATAATTCAAATTCATTTAGGTATTTTTTTTCACGGGCTGCGTTCTCGAGGACGGAACTCACCGGCTGTGTGCCGCTGCAGCCCTGTGTCTTGCAGCCCAGTGCCATGGCACCACACGGTCCGCGGAGCCTCTCGCGGACGAACCGGGCGGACGTTCAGGGCCCAATGGGCAGGAGCATGTTGAGAAGACGGATGGAATAGTCTCCCACTTCCTGTCTGGGTGCCCTGGAGTAGGAGACCTATTTACGTAGGGTAGGGTAGTCCATTAGACCCATTGGATGATCCTGGTACTTGATGATACTTTTGGGTCATATCAAGTCTTCCAGTCCCGTGGGTGATCTGGGGATGGTCCACTCTCTTTGACATCGGTGGCTCTTATTTTCGGGAGACGTACCGCTTCTTCAGCGTCTGAACGAGACCATCCGACCTCGACATTGGGCTGCCTGTTGCAGCCGGTGCTTCTTGTGCGTGCAAGCAACATCGGGGCTGCCACGGACCTCTGATTTCAAGTATAAAATCGGTTGGTTCTCCATCAAGAAGAGGTTTCTTGGGATCAAAACATGTCAAAGGCCAGATTTGTGACTGGTGGTTCTGCAGCATTTGGATGCCCTAGATCTGCTAGGTACTCGGGCAACTACCATTTACCAGAGTCCAGATCCCTTTCACTCCAGACTCCAGATCTTCAAACCCCCTCACGGGCAACACAGCGAGTCCACGCATCAAGGCTTCGTCCCCCCGCACGGAAGCCGAGGCGCTGGATGCGAGTTCGACACCTCGAACTGCAGCTCAGTGCCAGCTGGCGGCTCCTGTGAGGCGCGGTGGGACAGGGGGATGGAAGGGTAGGAATGGGTTAGATGAGATCAAGTAGAGTCGGACTATAGTCCGTAGGCCCCGGATCAATGCATGGAATCCAGGTATACAAGGAATAGGAATCCAGGGTTACAAGGACTCTATGAGAGGCTATCAACATTCATGAAATCCGATCCACAGCTTCCAAACCAAAACCCGCAACTTTCGACCCTGTTAGACGCTTTTTTTAGGGCTCCAGTCGTACCTCAGAAGGTATCAGAAGGTATTTGGACCCTTCAAACCTACAGTGTCGAACACATCACCTTCTGAGAAGGTACTTGGATCCCTAGGGCCTACTACGCCTCATGCATACCAGCACCTTCAGTTCGGGGTCGGGCTGGTTTCGGGTTTCGCCCCAGCCCACCTATCCGTGATCTCCCTGTCCAGGACACCCAGTACTTCAGGTCCATCTGAGTCCATCTGTTCTATTCTCCCTAGGGCTCCAACTGCCTCCTGAGAAGATGGTTGGGGTGGGTGCCATGGGGGTCTAACCACCGAACCTGAGGATATGGTTGGAGCCCTATAGGGTCCATTCAGCTCTTCGCAATCCCAGCAACTCGACGCACGTCCACCCACCGGTCCGTCTGCTGTGGTGTCCCAGGTCCGCTGCCGAGTGCCCTTCTCAGGGATCCCCTCGCTGGGGCACTGCCCTGCAGAGAACGTCGACCCGCAGACCACGGTGCTCGTCGAGATGCCGACGCTTTCCTTCCAAAAGAGTGGGGGGCGGGGGGGCCGCCACGAAATACAGAGAGGGGACGTACACATTCAATAGACATCTTGTTGAATGACATCTAGCAGGCAAGCATATTTGGGGTTGTGTGACCCAGAATGTTGCAAGCCAGCGGTCTAAGCACTGAATCTCTCGCAGCTGACTTCATGGGACACCCGGAACAGCCAGTCTTCAGCCGATCGCCACCCACCTGCGCGGTGAGAAGACCCCGTTGGGGCGGGGGTGGGTTGAAGCCCTCGGTGGCCACGTCAAACCAGTTACACCTTCAATCTTCTCGTGCCGGAACTTCCCACCATGAAACCCGAACTGTGCTAGATCAACACTCAAGCAGATTCACACACAGCAAACACCACTTAGCTAGTACACACCGCTTCATTACCGCAACTCATCTCCCTCAAGCTTCATCATTTTTGTGCCTGCGCATGCCTTTCCGAACACAAGCTGCTGGTTCCAGGGGCACCTCCGCCAGCTAGGGCGGCAAACTAATCAGCGCAGCAGTTTGCTCTTGAGAGGTCATCTTTGAGCAAAGAAAATGGAGGATCTGAATCAGATCTTCAAGCCAGGGGTCTGGAATAACATGGAATAACGTAAGTCATAAGAAAAACGTGAAGTCCTTCAGTGACGTTCCCAAGGTTTGCCGGTACCGACGACTCCAAAAAGAATCGGAACCGTGGATAGCCGTCCCATAGGCCTGCAGGCCCCGCCGTCCAAAAGCAGCATCTCATTTTACGGATCGGTATGTTACAGGTGACGGACAGATACTTGGAACATGATTTTTTTTCAAGATCAAGAGCCACATAGAACATCAAGCTCGCTGGTGAAAAGTCTATGGCCAATGGCTATCCTCTGCTGACAGTAGACACATATTGAAGGAAGGGCACACCAGTCTACCAAATCGGGAAAGCACCACACTTCGAACATCTACCACATCGGATAGTCCAAGTGTCTCCGAGGGTGGGTGAGTGGGAGGGTGGGTCGTGAGCGGCATGGACTGGCGTCGCCCCTCATAGTGGGTTGAGGTGGAGCCAAGATATGGCTGGAGTGATCGGGTGGCATTGACTTCTCTGTGGAAGTGCAGGTGACATACCCTAGGGCTCCAACTACCTTCTGAGATGGTTGGGGTGGGTGCCGAGGGGGTCTAACCACCTTCTGAGGATATGGTTGGAGCCCTAGGGTATATCAATGCTTTTCAGACCCCTTGATTATGAGATTTATGATCAACATCTTTTTGGGCGACCTTCAAGAGAGCCACAGATAATGGGAGATGGCCGCCAACAACATGGAGAATCATTTATACCCTATGCACTGTTTTGTGGTATATTATATCATATTCTCTGACACGGACAGACACTTAGAGCATCACTATAGAACACCTAGGTGTTTTGAGACGATGTTCGAAGTGAGGTTGGCTATTAGTGAGTCTATGGTCCAAGCATGTTCTAAGTGTTTGCCCACAGGTTATACTTAGAACTTAGAACATCCCGCATGATTTTTGTAACTTCATTTTTTTCCAAGTGATCTTCTAAGTAAATCTGTCCGTCACTATATAATTACTACCGTATACGGTAAGCCTTCTACGTTCCAAAAAGGCCTTCTTTGGTCAAGCCCTGGCAACAGCCAGGAGCTAGGCCATATCAAGATCCACAATGATCCACAGACGTACTTGGAGCGCCACTTACAGCTTTCTGAGTCCTTTGGGATCCACAGGGCGACTTTCAATAGACCTTATATAGCCCAGCCTTTGAAGTCCCGCAGCGCACCATGCCCCTGGCAACAGCCCGAGGACCTGTATCCTGGATTGCCCTGTGCCGGACGTTCTGCCGGAGGTGGGCTTCGTTTTTTTGACAAGCACAGTAGGTTGCAACGTTCCCTACGAGAGGCTAGGAGAGTATTCATTACCTGGGTTCGGGTCATGTGAAAAGTGGAGTCCTGACAGATTGCAAGAATCTAAGAAGACCCGCCCTTTAAGAACATGCCCAGACGCTCCATGGGACTGCCATATATGCCTAGATTGACCGCCCAAACCACCCCAACAGATCGGTATATATATGCCATACATCGATACATTTAGTGTCTGGGATGTTACAACCTTTCCAGCAGTTCCAGCAGTTACACCTTTTTCGCTGTACAGAAAAACGCCTGGTGGTCGAAGAAGATCGACCGGAGGGTCCTGGTGTCCGGTTTTCAGGATTCTCAGTTATGGTGTCAACATTTGCTTGGAATGACTCATCATATGACATCATATGATATATATATAATATATAATATGACTCATATGTTAATATATTTGACATATTTTTCATGAAACCACCAACTTCAAGCTCTTTGTTTGCCCAGACTCAGACACACATGACCCATGGGACTGCAATCAGAACGGTGTCAGGGACAATGAACGGTGTCAGACTTTTTTTTGGTTCAAAAGGAGAAGATCCCGAGACACCAGATGTCTTTGCTGTGGTACACTGCGGCTACAAGTGGTACAGACACTGACTGCCGGAACAGAGAATCACGAACACATCAAACACATCAAAGCACATACCAGAAACTTGACACTTTTTCTCAAGACTCTTTTACGTGACCATGATCGTTGGCCAAAAGGATCATTTGACCGGGATTGACCTTCGCCCTTGCCTGATGTGGATCCCACTGGAGTGTAGCAAGGGGATGTTTGGAACCTTGAAAGTAGTTAGATTGGTATGCCCAAGCTTCAGGCACGTTTGTTTGCTGGATGTGTTTTCAACATTGTAGAGTATTTGAGAGAGATGATATCTGAAATGCCTTTGACCGCAGCATGCTTCACTCTTCAACCATTTACCACAATGGTTGGTCAAACCAGTTATATACAACGAGCCAATCTTGACCTCCTCTCTCGCGGTTTTGGCCAAGCAGCGTCTGCTTCAGCACGGTCTTGAGGACCCTACAAGGACAAAACAACACAAATCCGGGGTGTTCTTTGCATGAAAAACACATTCCGCCCGAGTGGCGAGGGGGTCTGGGATCGTCCAGTGCGTCCAGTTTGGTTTACGTCCAGCTTGGCCTGATGTTTGGATGTGTTTTTATATGACACGTATATAATATAATTGATTTTTTGACCAAGACCTTTGGTTTGTGACCGAAACAGGGACTAAGACGAAGCGTTCGTGACCTCATCATAGCTCATCCTGGGATCTCGAGGACGGTCATTTTGCCCCTTGCAGAAGCCGCAGAGAAGCCTCATGTTCCTTCCCATGCCTCCGTCCAGCGCGGGTGTTTCATGGTGTTTGTTCCCATGCCACCGTCCGGACGTTGCAGCACCATGCGTGCCGCAGGGCTACAACATCTCCTTTGGCGCTGCAAGAGAGGAAGGCTTTGCCAACTCCATTCTCGGTCAGGACAATGCGGTCCCTCCAACCCTCGGTCCAGCGCGCGCGTGCGTGTTCGACCCGGCGACGAGTGATGGCCGATGATGGCCGTCCAGTCCGTGGATTACTCTGGTCGACCGGGGGGTCCAGAGCGGAAGCTCTCGAGTACACAGCTTTTTCATCAGGGAGTCCATTCCCATGTGAGGCCTGGGATTTCTCGAATTTCGCGCCCCAAAAGAAGTGGCGACGTGTCGCCTGACGTCTCCGTATACCACCGCCACCACCCACATAGGGTCAAGGAACAGGTCGTATCTGAAGGGTGCTGAGGTGGTGCATCACATGGTGAGAAGTGCTTCGGCCCACAGCGCCCGTCAACGATCAATATGTTCTACCCACCCAAATTCCCCAACGTGACTGAATCCCACCCAAATTCCCAAATTCCCAAACACACCTCGAAACTCTCTGCCATGCGACAAAAAGGCTCAACATGTCGGCCACATTGCCAAGGGTAACTCGTCCCACGACCTGAACATAAAATCTGAAAATCCATCTCTCAACATCTAATTCCAGCGTGATCCTTGACTGAACAGTTGTGAGAAGAAAGGGACCATTTTCCACTTCCATGTGATGTGTTCGTCAGAGTGTATGCTTCACAACAGTGTCGCAAAGACGGGCAATGCTTAGTTCCTACTGTAAACCTTGCATTCGGGGGCCCCTGGTTGGTAGTAGGACGTCGGGACGAATTATTTGTTGCAAGTATTGATTGGACTTCTTGTTTGAACAGGATTTTTGATCCTGAAGGCCCCAGTGAATGAAGCATGTCAGCAGAGTAGACTCTGGATCAGTCCAGGCCTCCCCCCCAAAACAGTAGATCCGGATAGGGAATTCCCATTGAACATCATGACAGTCCTTCTCAAAGCGTTTGAGACCTGGCTCTTGCTCGGGACTAGGGCGGACTCGAACTGAAGTCACAAGAAGCTACGTTCGGGTAGGGGCTGCCTTACGAACGGAGCAAGGACACTACTATGCCCGGGGCTCCTGGCATCGCCTCGCTACGCGCCCGATGTCATTCCGTCAGGATCCCATCTCCGGGCGCAGCGCGCGAGTGGAGCGCCGGGGCTACTTCGACTGCGAGGCGGGACCGGAGAACGTGGCGTCTCGGCGGGACCGAAGAGCGTGGCGTCTCGGCGAGAGGTTGGGCGGACATAAACAATGGTAACAAAGATAACAAAGGTACCATGTGCAGGGTCATCCTGTCTGGGTGTCCAATAGACTACCGTACCCATCCCTACCCTTACTTACAGGTCTCCAGACAGGGCACCCGTTGGAAGTGCTAGGTATACAAGCCTGGACCTGAAGTACTGGGTGTCCTGGACAGGGAGATCCCGGATAGTACTGGGTACTTGCGCTCGTAGTGTTGGGACTCCAGGTGACCCGGAAGATCGCTCGAGGGATCTCGAGGGTATATAAATATATATATTTATGTGGAACTTCCTGGACCACAAAGTCAAGGCTTACAATAAGGCTCACAAGCTGCTCCAACCTTTCCCCAGAAATTCACTCGCTTCAGACGCGGCCCAGCGCTGGCCGCGCGTCAGGAGTCTTGGGCGGGGAACCTCACGGTGACCTGTGCGGTGGACCCTGGGCGGCGTTAGGGGTCGGGTGAGGTGGAGCAACACACATGGAAAGCCAAACTTGGTGGACTCTATTCTGGAAAGCTGAAGAATTAGTTCATGCAACTATAGAAGGGCTATATAATATATATATATATAGTAGAGAGATGTCAAGACTTAGTCTTAGTAGAGACGTACGTAGTATTATGCGTAGTAGCAGGTTGTACCTGAACGTACCTGGAGTCTCTGTTGGCACCTTGCAACCAGGGTGCACAAATAGTTGGACCACGTATTTGCCTGATTTTGGGGTTCCCAGGGCATGTCACAGATGGGTGCGAAATTTCTGTCAGTTTGGGCTGACAGGGCTCCAGGCTCACTCTGGATTTGGCCTCCCTTTGTGTTTGGGGATGTGTTTGGACAAGTTGTCATGAAAAATACATCAAAAAACGTATAGCGGTGTATATAGATTGTTGATGTTTCACATTGTCAAAAGCCAGGGCAGGTGTGTCTACAACTGCATGTGCTTTGCCAAAAGATAGGACCATACCAATCACCCTTTCTCCCAGCAGCATGTCTTCCTTGCTGACAACATCACTTGCATACGGATCAGTAAGTGCGTACCAAGAGCAGAAAAAAGTGCTCTGCTCAGTGCTATGTAATAGTCTGGTCAGATGTCAATCAGTCATACAATACAGTCATATATATATATATACATATTTGGGATTAGCGCCATGTATTAGTCTAAATAGCTGAGCTATAGAGATGTTGGTTTGGTGATCTGCATTCATGTGCATTCTCAGGGTTCCAGATTTGCCTTCCAAGACTTATGAAACCTTCCTGGGTTTCACTGGGTTTCTGCGACTGAGCCACCGGATGAGCCTGCCCAAACAGGGCTTCAAGCCTGTCAAGTCACCGGATTCGAGGTCCAAGGTGTAGACTCCCTTCGTCCGAAGCCCATGGCGCCACCTGTGCAAGTGGTTTCACCGGGGGGGAGATACACTGTACAAAAACCCCGGTTTCACCCGCTCAAATCCATGGTTTCCGGGTTTACCAGGGGAGAGACCAACACCCGCTTCCACCGAACCCAGTGGATCGACGAACAAACGTCACCGAAGAATCCGAAGAAGAAGCCGGACAGGACTCGAGTCCGACTCGAGACTCGAGTTGGCCGAGACCTCGACGGGCGCCAAGCCAAGAGGATCCGGACCCGGTTGCAACCAGGGGTACCCAACGTTCGGATAGTCGAAGGTTCGGGTGACCTGACCCACTTCGGCTGGACCGAGGATCCGGACTGTGACTGGAAGATCGAGTTTGCCGGCTGTCGCCCCACTGTGCCCTGTGCACCGCTGGAGACCCCGCTCGCGAGTTCGAGGGCTCGACACCGGTGCGTGGCGGATGATGTGGGGCGATGTGGGCACGGAGAGGGTTCAGGGGGGTTCAAAAAAAACTGGGAGGTTGGACGGATTTCGGATGATGTTGACTTTCTCAAACTTGAGCGAAATGCCCTGGCATGGGGAAGATGCTGTTAGTTAACTTCGGGGTTCCTGGACAGCAAATTCAAGTTCAACCAGGGTTGCCACTACTTGTCATACCCAAGAAAATGGATTACCGAACAACCTTTTTTGGGGGATTGGGGGTGTTGCCCACTCAACATGAACAGGACATTTGACATCTAAAAACTTGGTTGACAGCGAGATGCTCAGATCCAAGAACTTAATCCGTTGCCAAGCTACCTCGTATCATGAGAGTAGGGGTCTTCGAACTAAAGTGGTCGTTCATCTCACCTGTCCTGTACCTTTTGTTTCTCTAACATCCAAAAAAGGACACACATGGATGAACACGGGGGTGAGTTGGCGGATGCTAGTTGTCCATGTTCTTTCACTCACGCATGGAGTGCAGCACCAGTTTTGTAGCTCGTTCACCCCCTACGGATCGAATGTCTTGTTTTGGGAACAACCCAATATAGCCAAACTCTCCATGGGACTGGTATATATGCCGATCAGTTGACCCCAGGTCAACCAGCCCAATGTATGTATATACCAGTCCCATGGAGTCTTTTGGATCGGACAAGTTCTCAGAAGGTGGGACTGGGGTGGGTTTAGATGGGCTGTAGAGGGTCCAGTCATACCGTATCGTTTCGGATGTATGACTGGAGCAATCCCTAGGGGTCCAAGTACCCTAAACCCTGAACCAGAAGGTGATTGGAGACACTGTTATGTAGGTTTTGGAGGGTCCAGTCGTACCTTCGAAGGTATGACTGGATCCCTAGGGAATCCACATGGCCAGTGGATGGAAAGCGGGAAGCGAATCCATCGGCGGAAGCTGACCAGTTCCGTCGAGGACACCGAGGACAGCGAGGAACCGAATGGATTTGGGGATTTGACAGTGTCCCATGAGGAGCAGAGTTCAGTTCCAGACCAGACTTATAGATGGGACATTAGGGCCATGAATATATGGATGTGATAAAATAAACGTCTGTAACTCTTCCCAATGGATGCTTTGCGGACCCCCGCGGACCGTTCACCTTCGAATCTCTCCGGTCTTCGTCGCCCTGCTACCGGAGGATCTGACCCTGCCACCCTGCGGACTCGTCGCCCCGAACTGCTGCTCGGACGACGGGTGGGTCCTGTGTGTGGCGAGGGCGGCACACGAAGAGGTCGAGAGATGGGGGTCCTAGACAGATAGCACCGACCTTGGGGAGTAGCTTGGGGTAACTTGTGTCATCAAACAACTGAAACTGCTGAACTAGAGATCCCTTTTTGGGGATCGCAGGGGAAGGTATCCCCGGTCATACGGTCAAGACAGAGGGGGTTCGGGGTTCACGAGTGCAAGAATTTCCAGAGTGGGCAGGGCACCACCAAAAGGTGCAAACCCTGAACTTCGCCGGGAGCAAAAGGCATCCATGCCGGCAGATTTCGGCAGTACTTGAGTGGTATGTGAATAGTTGTTTCTCCTCCCTTCCTCTTCTCCTCTCTTTCTCTTTTCCTCTCTTCCTTTTCCCCTCTCTTCCTCTTCCTCTTCCTCTTCCTCTTCCTCTTCCTCTTCCTCTGCCTCTGCCTCTGCCTCTGCCTCTGCCTCTGCCTCTGCCTCTGCCT